GAATAGGGAACAACAAAGAAATATTCGCTGGAGGGGGTTTCACGAAGCTCAAAAATAGCGCGAGGATGAATGGCTTCATGGTAGATCGCCGGATTGGGGGAAGTAATAGGACGACGGACTGATGGATGCCAAGATTGTACAAAATCTGGTATGGCATCATCATCTGCGTTGGAATGGCCAAGTTCCATCTCCGCGCGTGAAGAGAGTCAGCACTACTAATAATATTGCAGTACTCACTTTGAGTATTCTCTGCAGTTGCTCTACAGTTGATGATAAGGATATAAGTTGATAAGGCATCCCTAACTCCGCGAATCACAAACGCATCAGGGTCGTTCGTCACGGTCACCTCACCACAATGGGCAAAAAATCAAACCTCACGGGTTTATCTCGTTTCCTGCCACAAGACTTTATTGATACAAAGGCTGCTAGCCATTCAGAACAATCACAAAATCAGAGCAGATCTGTAAAGAAACGTAAAACGGATACCTTTGGTCCTGCTCGCACAAGATACGATGCGACCGCCCTCGTTCCTCACTACAACACCGCTCACGAGGTTCCAGAAAACCTTCAGAAATGTCCGTCATGCTACAATCCAATATTTCGGCCTTTTGACTCAATCCCCGTGGTCTCTTAGATTTTTCTCAACGAAAACGTTACTTTTCTTTATACGACCAGGGATGTCTATTAGACGAAGAAGGCTGGTATAGCGTGACACCTGAAAGCATCGCCATCCGAATTGCAGAGCGATGTCGATGTGATACTATCCTCGATCCTTTCTGCGGCGTCGGAGGAAATGCGATTGCTTTTGCAAAAACCTGTGAGCATGGTGAGAGGCCCGTTCTACTGCTCATCGTTTTCTTGCTCATGTCGCCCTCATAAATTACATAGTCATTGCTCTGGACATCTCCCCAATACGAATAGCGTTGGCTCGTCATAACGCCGCAATCTACGGTGTTGCAGACCGCATTGAGTTTATTCTTGCGGACTATGTCTCATTTGCAAACGCATATCTTTCACGACCCCACCCAACGCGCAGGATCGATGTCGTCTTCTTAAGTCCCCCTTGGGGTGGTCCAGAATACATTTCTCCTACCGATAGCCATGTCTCTGCCGACCACAATACGGACCTACAGGACGAACCGGAGGCACATTCACAATTTAGCCTCTCGAGGATACAGCCGATACATGGCGCCGATCTGTTTCGCCTGACGAAACGGATCTCAGACAATATTGCCTACTTCCTTCCCAGAAACACGGATCTGAATGACATATCTGCCCTGGGCCAATCCGAAAAGGACGAAAGTGCCACTACCGACGACGAGCCTCGAATGATTGAAGTGGAGGAAGAGTGGATGGGGTCGAAGTTGAAAGCTCTCACTTGTTATTTTGGTGGTCTGGTCACTGGGCAAGAACATGTATTCTGACTTGATACGCCGCCAGGACTGTGACTGGACGCAAATACGCATCCTCCAGGGTACTCTTGGCTAGGTATTATTGCCTGTCAGAGTCTAGCTAGCTAGCGTCAGTGATGCTAGGAAGTGAAGTCCCTTTGACGTCTCGTGCAAAACTGCATCTAACTGCTGCTGGCGTTTGGTGACGATGCTGCTGATGCTCTGGTCATTGAGCTCGATGACAGAGTAGTCGGTATTGGGGAATTTACCAGAGTATGGGGCTTCGAGGTCTAGAATCTGATGAATGGCCACACCATCAACTAGTTAACTTGATCGAACGAGCTGAAGCTGCTGAGGCGAATGATTATTATTCTTAGACGTGAGTGCTTATAAAACTGGGCACTTACAATTTTTTGCAATGCAGCAATGATATCCGAAGCCGGGGAAAACTTGTCATTTGAGTTGGCTATGTGCATGTTCAATGTTAGCGCAAAGGTCAATGTTGAAACGTTCGAGGACGACGGAAATTTGAAGCCGCGAGGTAATCACCATTGGGCGAGAAGACGACATGGTGTGCTTTAGTTCCATTCAAAATATTGTTTCTGCGCTGTGACGTTTTTCAAGTTTCCATAGATGAATGTACCCAGTCCTCACAACAACAAGATTGTCCTTGACAGACAATGTAATCGAGAAAGTCCTCTGAACCTGGAGATCAAGAGGATCCCCTGCGGGACGTCCTGTCGTAGTCTCCCAGAATTGAAGGATGCCATGATTGAATCCCGACGCAAGGTGTTTTCCGTCCGGGGACCAGAACAGCGAAGACACTGTCGTGGCCCCGAATTGGTGGGAATATCAGTCTCCTGTTCACTGTATCCCAGATGCTGATTGACGCGCCATTGGCGAAGGCATCAGCGCCCGCAGCCAACTTGCTTACATCAGGGTAATATGCCATGCAACTCGTCAAGGAGCCCTTCAAGGTTCCTGGCGACGCAGCATCCAGACCTTCAGCAGAGCGTCATCAAAGGCAGCTAGCCATGTGCCGCCCACTAGGCATCACGCTATACAGGTTACGGCTGAACCGCCATGCGCATCCCAAGGCTCTCCGATCAGCTGCCTCGTTGACAGGTCGTTTCGCGTCCGCATCTCCTGCAACCCTCGTGTCGTACGGAGACCCAGTAACACAATTTACCCAATGGTCGTAGCCAAAGAGGGGCTCTCCAATTTCCCGTACTTCAGGAATGTCCCAGACTGGTGCAGAGCGGTCGGTGGATCCGCTCACAGCGCGGACACTGTCAGAAAAGGGCGAGTGTCCAGACATGTAGGGCCCGGGTGTATCCTTTGAGTTTGCTCAGTGGAGACAATTCTGAACTCGAAGTCTGGCTGGCATCTGTGGTGGACGGCATGATGGGAACAAGGTTGCTGCTTGACCGTTAGCGGTAAATATGGGAGACGTCTAAAACGCCGACTTGGTCGAAGTTCCTCTCTCAAAGTACTTTTGAGCAGTTCGCTTTTGGTTTAGTTCAGGTTTGCGTTCGTAAGCACACTTTTTGGTTGTGTTCAGCATCTCCACCAATCGCATCAGTGCGCTACAGTTGACATTCTCACAATGCATAAGGTGATCATGCATAAGATCTCATAATGCATGGCCAAAGGTGGGAACCGACATCGTTCCTATGTAATTATGCATGAAATCTATTATCCAATCATGCATAGGGCATTGGGCTGTTATGCATTATTATATATACTAAATATAGTAGTCCAGTTGGTTGAACCAGGGATGCCGCTACAAACCGACGCTAAACCTTTGGTGTTCATGCAAATTGGTGATAAATGAAATCAGGCAGGGCATAAATTTTCACTACTTTTCTTCACTACTTTCTTATTGCACCTGCAGACCCCCCAAGGCGTAAACCTTGTCATAACCATAAGCCATTTTGCATCACCAAACTGAAGGCCAAAGATTTACCGAAGACTTCTGCATTGCCGAAGCTACCAGCTCATGAACGAAGCAACTTGACACTCAATGATTGGCTAACTGTAGTCAAGTATCATGATGACAACCAGCCCATATCGCAGGAAGATGTTGTCAAGCATTTTGAGAAACCCACTGAGGGTGTTTTTGATATTTACTCAATAGGAGGCCTTGGTTGTTTGTGACCGCATGCAAAAGCTCTGCATTGATTATGCTGACGCCAATGGTGTATCACTCCCAGTAAAACCCAACACGATGAGGACGGGGAAATATGATAATTCTGTAATTACATAATAGGAAAAGTGACGAGCTCTGAGATTTCTAATGAACACGTGTTGCACTGTATCGTTTTCGTTGTGCGCCGTATCGTTTTCGTTGTGCATCGTATCGTTCCTATCGTTCTCTTTGTTGTCGTTGTTGTCTATCATATCATTCTGGTTGCGCATCGTATCGTTTTCGTCAGCATTGTCCCAATGCAAGAGTAAGCTAAAACACTTTACAAATTTCTTCACTAACTGTAGTGATCTTCACAGTGACACAGTCAACCAACAGCCAGCAAGTAGGCGTCGCTTCAAGCCCACCACGCGCTCATAAAAAGTGGGTCTGGTCAAGCAGAAAGTTCACTGGGTCGGACAGAGAAAGCGGCTCGTCCACAAGTCGAGGTATATAAGCCCGATTTTGTGATCGTTGTATTTTACTGACTATGTATGTAGTCTGCACCATACCCAGGACCAGATGCAGCGCAGGACCAGCTTGATGTTGATCATCATGACTACAAATTTGGGGACTCGGACCACCATGAGCCCCAATCCGCTTGGGCATCCACTGAATGTACCTCCCTCTGACGAACCCAATGTACCCCCACCCGACAAACCCAATGTGCCCCCACCCGACAAACCCAATGTACCCCCACCTGATGAACCCAACATGCCCCCACCCGATGAACCCAACGTGCCCCCACCCGATGAACCTAACATACCTCCCTCTGACGAACCCAACGTGCCCCCACCCGATGAACCCAACGTGCCCCCACCTGATGAACCCAACATACCCCCGCCTGACGAACCCCAGCATCTCCCTCGGCCCCTTCACCACGTCTTTGATATTGATCAACTTGAGGAGGAGGCTGTCTTGCCAAAACAAACAGATGCCGTAGCTTTCATCAAGTTACTGTGGGTAGCATCACTGGATGATCCTGTGGCAAAATTAGATGACGCTGCACTGAACCGGTTGCGTAATCCGTACCAGACTGGTCTCGAAATTGACAGTAGTGCTGTCCGACACGGGATTGCGACTTACTTTGCATTAGAACACTCCGCGATCAATGCATACGAGTCTATTCGACAATCCACTGCACACTGCCTTGAAGGCGAGGCTACTCAAATACCTAGTTACTATAATGTCGAGCGACTTATCGCAGAGTACACCGGTGTGGAATCAATAGAACATGACATGTGTCCAGATACCTGTGTTGCGTTCACGGGTCCCTTCGCCGATCTCACACACTGTCCTATCTGCAATACAGACCGCTACGACCCCATCAAACTTTGTACGAGTGGTGGTCGAATGCACGTTGCACGTCAGAAGTTCATAACCATTCCCCTCGGTGCACAACTACAAGCACTATGGCGTGACCAAGACCAAGCTCAAGCAATGGGCTATCTGCGGGAAGGAACTCAATGCTTGTTCGAAACACTTCGAGTCAATGGTGGCATCGTTGATGTTTTCGACGACTTCTGCAAGGGCCGTGAATTTCTACAGGCTGTTCAACGGGGTGATATCAAGCCTGATGATATTGTATTGATGATCTCACTCGATGGTGTGCAGTTGTACGAGTCCAAATTATCAGACTGTTGGATCTACATCTGGGTCATTATGAACCACGCTCCCAACCGGCGATACAAGAAACAATACGTGCTTCCCGGAGGTTTCATTCCAGGACCCAACAAGCCGAAAAATGTGGACTCATTCCTATTTCCCGGTATGCACCACTTAGCTGCCTTGCAGAATGAAGGCCTTCGTATCTGGGATGCATGGCGTGACATTGTATTTATTTCCAACCCGTTTCTTATCTTCGTTACTGCGGATGGACCCAGGCTTGTGTATTTTGATGGCATGGTGGGGCACAGTGGAAAGAATGGATGTTGATTGTACTGCGGATTACTCAGTTGTCGGAAGGGAACCCATTACTACCCTGCCTTGCTAATCCCCCATCGTTACGCTGTCGCCGGCAGTAACCACCCCAACGTCAGTGTCTATGAGTTGCATGATCCTGACCTCACTGAATATTTCGACAACCTTCTGAAACTCGTCGCCGCACCAAACACCCGCCAGTATCGCAAGCTGTGAACTCAAACCAGAATCATGAAACCCTCCCTTCTACTCGGCTTACACCCATCATACACCCTTGGAATTCCGAATTGTCTTACTCCCGATATCATGCACCTCGCACAACTACTCTCCGACCTCTTGTTGTCGTTATGGCGCGGTACAATGGACCACATCCTTCCGGATCATGTCTCAATGTGGCCCTGGGCAATCTTTCATGATGCTGAGACCTGGGAAACCCATGGAGAGGCCGTTTCTAATGCAGCGCAGCATCTCCCAGGCTCCTTCGACCAAAAACCAAGAAATCCCGCTGAAAAAATGAATTCGGGTTACAAAACGTGGGAGTATCAAGTCTACATATTCGGTCTTGGCCCAGTGCTACTATTCGATATCCTTCCCCGACCATATTGGTTAAACTACTGCAGGCTCGTACGTGGATTTCAGTTGATTAACCAGCATTCTATCAGCCATGAAGATGCTTGTACTGCTCAAGCCTTGTTTACTCAGTGGGAACTTGAATTCGAGACGCTCTACTATCAGCGCCGTGCAGAACGTTTGCATTTCATTCGATCCTGCGTGCACCAAGTCAGCCACCTTGTACGTGAGACTGTCAAGAAAGGGCCTCCCATCTGCTATTCTCAATGGACCATGGAACGTACCATTGGCAACCTCGGGCAAGAAATTCGCCAACCTTCCAATCCCTATGCCAACTTATCACGGGAGGGCGTCCGACGATGTCAAGTCAATGCTCTAAAGGCAATGATGCCTGATCTTTCCCCCGACAAGCCCCCCTTTCCGACAACAGCTATCGATCTCGGAGATGGATATATTCTCTTGCATAAGCGAGATTCATGGCCAATGGTTCCTCGAGAACCAGGTGCCAAAGCAATTTTTCAATATCTCGGTCACCGGTGTCGTGACTTCAAAATCCGCTGGTGGGCTCGTGTACGTCTTCTGAACGGACAGATAGCGCGCACTGCGTGGAGGGAAACCAAACACCCACCTGAAAAAGTGCGTCCTGCACAACATGTCAAGGTAGTTAGTATCCATACCATTGTTGTCCATGTCTCACTAATATTATCGAAGATCGTTATCGAAGGCGAAACCCGAGTTGCTGAAGTCCTATACTTCACGCGATTACCTGTTGAAGCTGGTATTGACAATGACGACAACCAAATTTGGGTCTGGAAGGATGTTGCTGTCATCTCGATGTTCTCACTCCCTGACAACGACCTCCTTGAATTATCGTGCCATACTGTCAGCTCATGTCGACTTGAAGATGATGACGTTCGTGTCATTGATATCAAGTCTTTTCTTGGTGTGGTTGGTATGGTCCCACATAAACCAACTCTTCCGTCTGGTGTTACTGAGGATCATTATTTCATGGTAGAAAAGCCCGGTCTTGATATTGCGACGTTCGGTGTCCCATATGAAGGACCCGCGGCTCAAGACGATCAGCTGGACGAACAAGAAGTGGAGGCTGGCGAGGATGATGGAGGTGCTTAGTGGAGCCGGTGATGAGAAGAAGGTATACGAGTTCATCACCCAGCGCTTTCTTGCAAGTTGTAGCACAGATGCGGAAGGCAAAGAAACAATTGTGCAAGTAAATTATGGTGGTGAAGAGTTTAATGCAACCGGTTAGTAATTCTGCTGCAACTCTGACATAGGCATGGTCCGAGTTTGCGAAGGCACAAAGTCCAAAGCAGAGATGCTCACCGAGAGCATCGAACAATACAGGGAGATGTATGTTCTCGCAAAGAGAGAGTTCAATAAGGTTGTCTCTGTAGGTGGTCTCCGAACGCAAGGGTGTCGTCTCAATAATACAGTGATAAAGTGCTTCTCATTCATCATGATCTAACAATTCCTGCAGCTCCTGCTTCCGCTGGCGTATAACTGTAAAGCTATCATCAACACCCGCACGGTCATACCACTTTGAGTCTTCTTCACACATGACATATTTCCAGTAGATCGAATTTGGAGGAGGGGGACTTGGGGTAGCGAAGAACGATTGTGGATCGAGCCGTTCAAGACGTGGTGGCATAGTGGTGCTTGCTGGAGTTGACGACGGCCCTGAGGTGAATCGAACTTCGGTCTTGATTGCAGCTGTAAGAGTGGAGATGGAAGGAGGCACGAACTCTGTGTCAGATTCAGGCTCAGTAGTAGAACCATCATCTGCAGATGGGATTGTGGTAGTGGCGGTTGCAGTGACTGCAACAGCGGAGGTGGTGTGTGCTGGCGCTGCGATCTCTTCGGATTCAGGCTCTGTAATCGAGCCAGCGCTGTCTGCGATTGGGGTCTTTGCCAGTGTGGTGGCCTGCACATCCTTGACAAAACTTTAATGTGAGATTAGACAGTGTCACAAAGGCATTAAATAGAATAGATAAAAAAAAGCCTACAGGTCGGCAACCCAATTGTCGTTCTGTGTGCCCAGGTCAGACTCTAAAGCAGGCAGTAGAGTAGAAATCTGTTGAATCAGATAATGGAATCGAGGAGGATGTTGATTCCAGTATGCGGGGTCGATAAGCATGTTATCAGAGGCTGTCAAATAAGGACTGCTGCTGCTCTCTGTCGCGCTCGGATCACTGAGGAAAACATTGTCAAAGTCAATATCTTTGCAATTCATCTGCAAAAAGCACAATAAAGGTAGGCTCATGATGGTACTAGAGTAGATGTTGTAATTTGCGTGATTTTCATTGAAGTCCAGTTTTGCTCACGTGAACAACTCCTTTGCAGCAAACATATGTCTCTCCGCTACCACCATGTCCACCGGCAACATGGAATTTTCTTATGGACCCTCTCCTTGGTACTCATATGATTTTACAATACCGTCTCTTCGCGCCAATGAACAATCTTCGGGTAGACTCAGACCACAAGCTCCTGGGCCCCTATCATCGTCGCTACCTCAAGCTTCACCGGATTTATTTGATGATCTGCACTCATTTGCAGGCTCTACTCCAAATTCTGGATTTTCTCATGTGAGTTGCTTATATTTTTCATACCGTTGGCTCCCACATTGTGATCTAGGGCGCATATATGCACCAGCCCACACCAAATTTTATTGCGGCACAGCAGGCTCATGCCCTACAAGAACAACTCGCTATATATCAAGCACGGCTTGCAGAGACTCAACTCGAGTTAAGCAAGACTATTACCAAATGTGACACTATCAAGTCGGTCTTTTTCTCCTATCATGATACTTAGATCGAAGTTGTTTGTTTTAGGGCGTCTTTTACCGAACTGATTAGCGTACTGCGACTCCCGGATCGCACCAACCCGCTGAACTTCAGTCTCACAAACGACTTGCTAACGGGACACGACAAAGTCCGTCCTTCGCAAGACTCTCACCCGAAAATCTGTTTCTGGAGTCGAGTGGATTACGACAAATACATTGAGAACGCTGAGTCTGGGACTGGAACTCGGGGTAAAGCCCCATGGCTAGAGCTCGAGGATGGTAAATCTGTCATGGTCGAGCAACTCAAATCAATTTGTAAGGCACTGCGCGCAGCCTGGGCTGAATTGGTTGTTCAGAAATTAGCTCCACCCACCTGGTCAAGGATCTGTGCTACCGGAAAGAAGCTTGTATTCGACATCATGGTGAAACAGTTCCCGCTATTCCTATTCGACCACTGCGGCTGGAAACTCAAGCTGCTTTGCATTACCGATTACCCATCCTGGCGTAAGAACAACCTTGGGAACAACGGAAAACTGGAAGGACCTACCAGGCAAGCTCTCAGTCAAGGAAGAGCATATTGACGACTTGGATGAACTTGACGCAGAGATATCAGAATCGAAACACGATGGACCCCGGGCTAAAGGAAACAGCAAGCGGCGCCTGTCTGACGATAGCGAAAGCCTGGACCGCCAAGACCATTTGAAGAAACCTAAATGTATGCGTTTTTTCTCTTGTAATTCTGATGGGCTCACATCACCATTAGTTGACTCAGCACCATCTCCGCTGCTTCGTATCGAACCGAAAGGTATGTATTGTTCTTTATTTCGTTACCTTGTTAACATCGATATTGCTAGTTGACCCTGGCGCTATATCGCCAACCTTACTCTCAACCAATATGCCCCTGCATCCAGATCAAAACTCAGGGCCTGGCACTAGCACCGACAAATGTGTCCCTTCGCCCATCGATGATTCTCTTGCCCTCGAAAATACTCTCATCATGCCAACCTACCCACGTGATGCATCTACCCCACCATTTGGAGTCTACTTACTGCAGCCCACTCCGCAAGGCCCGTCTCTTCCCCGATCGCCTTTGCGCCAAACTGTGTATACTTCTGAAACTAAGACCTTGCCAACTCCTCGCACACCAAGAACATCTCGTGACATACAACATGCCAACAAAGAGAACACAATTATATTGCAGGATCCACTGTAAGTACCTCATACTACATACTCATCCTTGCTAACTACGCTGCTACAAAGCGCCGATATTTTCGGACCTAACGGAATCGCCAAGACAATCCCTGCCCCAGCACTTAGCCCGATCAAGCAGACAAACAAAGACGGACCAAGTATATCCAACACCAAGTCAGTTGTAAAAACGGAGGGAAAGAAGAAGATGCGACCTGGTGCCACGAAGAACGCTCAGTAAGTATGCCTGTCTCTTAATGTTTTGCACTAACCTTTGTCATGCAGAAACTTATGCGCATGGCGTTGGCTAAAGCAGGTCAATGACATGAGTGGAACAACTGAAGAATTCTGCGTGTATTGGGCAGCACTCGCGACCGCACAGCAAGATGAGTACAAGGCCGACGCAGAGCGGTTGCAAAGCGCAGGGACATGGACAAAGGGTTCTGATTGTGCCGTCTGCGATGGTGCACTATACTAGTAGCATGTTTTCCCTTGCATTGTATGTCTTTTTATTGCCTGCCTGCATATTTCCCCCCACTTTCGTGCGTTTTTGCCCCTGCCCTGCTATTTACAGTAATTCCCGACTGCACTGTAACATCCCATGTCATCCGATCCTGTCCGCTGTCGTCATAATACATTATATTTGCTCGACTATTATAAATATGCTTGAATCGGATGAAATATGTAAACTACGATGAAAATCAGACCCTGTCCGCTGTCGTCACAATACATCCCATTCGTTTAACTATCATGAATATGATTGAATCGAGAGACATATGTAAATTACAATGAAAATCCGATATCATCCTGCCCCATCATGTAACATATGGGATGCACTCAAGTGGGTTCTGTTTAGCTCGGGAAATCGCCCAGTTAAGAAGAAATTTTCAGATGTTGCCTGCTGGTGCCCGATCTCATCGTGTTGGGTCTTTACTGGGGTGTATTGGCCGAGGTGCCGCGCATGACATAGTGTGGATGAAATTGTGCATTTCTATTGTGTTTTCGACATCTCAACTTCCAGTGCTGCCACTGCAACAAGCTCGCAACAAAATTAAAAAAATTCTTGTTGGGCCTTATGCGCAGAGACCCAAGGTATACACTACAGTAGATCTGATACGAATATGTGTTGTTGTTGTGTTGCTATTCAGCAATAAGTGAAAATTGTGCATTTCCCATTGAATGATAGTACTGCCAGTGCATGTAGAAAAACTATAAGTATTACATAATTTGTGCTGTTGATGTTATGTACGGCTTCCAGTTGCAATGCCGAGTATAAGTAGCCTCAAGGCCTCATGATCTAGTGGACCAAGTTGAAAAGAACATGAAGGGGGCCCTTGAACTCGTACCACTACCATGGTCAGTTTTCCCACGCTTTTCGTGGACAAGGTAGAGCGACTCCCGCTCACAGTGAACAACTGGCTTCGAATAAACATCATAAATCATACAATCAAAGTACACACACGAACATGCAACCAACCCATATCAAGTATCAGAACGATAAAAAACTCACAAAAACAACGGAAGGTATCAACCCACAGCCAAACCTACAACACCATCACAACAAAGAGTAAAAAACACTAAACGTCTACCACCAAAAACTAAACCATCACAAGCCCCAAAAGAAAACACGATGTACGACAACTAATAAGTCCTTACTAACCAAGGAACAAAACGAAGCACAGCACGAGAAACCAGATTCCATCAAAACCCGCTCCCATGATGTAAAAACCCAGGCCGCACATGCACAACAAGACCACCCACCCGCAACACCCTTGCGAACCCCATCAACCCGAACCACGCCTAACACAAACCACTGCAATACCATTACATGTACACCCGGCCACTCCCTAAGAAATCCCTGAGACTGCCTACTCCAAACGAAAATCAGATGGCGCCGATAGAAACCTAAGTATATAAACTACACAAAAACACCCAAAACGCCTGCCCACCGGAGCGATGAGAGAAAAGGAAATAACCTCCATAAAAACCTCTTCACAAGCAACCCGCCCATACCCACCCATCCCCCTGCCAACCTCTGAGCACACCCCGCGTCGGGCCACAATTCTTCCCACCTAATATCCTCCCAGAAGACAACAACATGGAATACACCCAGCAGGAAACAACCCATACCCCGGTACCATCCCCCTCCATGACAAACTCAACCAGGGTACCGCCGGAATCCCCTGGAAACACCGACCCCATTGGCCAGAGTCACACAAAAACCCCCAACGTCGCCCTCTGTCCATCCCCCCCCTATCCCACCCTCCCCCTCCCCCCCCACCGAGCCCTGAAGTAATAGGTGACCTTGCAAAATCCATGCACGCGCCTCAGAGTAACCCAGAAGACCACTCTATGAGTGCACCAGAAACCCCCTCCTGCCCTTACTCGCCTAACGAAGAGGAGAAGGCGATACTAGCTCACCTAGCCCTTGCAGAGAAAAACCGCTCCACTGTCCGTCATGATGGCCCTAACCACTGCACAACCCTACCTGCAATTCACGCCCACCCCCATAGGAGGATTCCCCCACGTACACCCTACTCACTCAGCCGAAACCTTCGACCACCTCGACAATCGTGTTCTCCTAGCATGGTTCCAAGTTGAACACCCTAAACTCGTCGTACAAGTCTTTGACTACACAGGAAAAGAAGTAGCAGAAAAAGCGGTAGTACTTGTGGAACGCATCTGAGCCAACATAGGAATCATCGCCAACTTTGTCCACCAAGATGCACAACCAGTTCGCATCTCCCCCCCACAACCCCAAGGAGGACTGGGAGAGCAAAAACTTCCCCATCGGATTCCTAGTCCACAACATCTCCGAAGAGACCAAAGACCTCATCCTCAGCACCCGCATATGGTCGGCATCTGACATAACCTTCGAAGCACGCTCCTTCAGCTGCTACTGCCCCCCTGACCTACTCTTCTGCCTAACCAGTTTCACCACATCCAGCACCCAACTCATACGTAAAGCTGTTGCACAGATGTATGGGTGGCGAACGAAAATAGAGCGGTGATCAATGATCTCATTTCCATGAGCGAGATTAAAGACGAAGAAAAAGTCTACGCAGCCACATGGAGCTTCATCAGATCAATTAGGATCGAGCTCCTGGACTTCAAAGTAACCGGTGGACTATCAGTTCCATGCTTCAACGTCCTTGCAGTCAGTCCCATATGCGACGCCAAAGCATGGACTGACCTCCGATCCTTCCTACACACCCTTGATTACCCCACAGGCCTCGACGGCTGCGGAACCGCCATAGGCATGACGGCATGCCCTATCTGCCACTCGATTGCACACCCTCGCGGTCTGTGCCCCTTCCCAGAAACCCCACTCTGGAACGGTCCAAAGATCGGAGCTAAATCATCGATCCCCACCAGGAACCCGAGACCGAAGGGTAAACACACTGCCTAGAACCTTAATCCTCACCCTCGCACGAAACCGTATATCACACACCCCATGCAATCCCCTTTAGAAATACCCAGAAAACCAATACATACTACCACACATCACCTACAGTACCTGTCACTTACATACCGCCCAAATACTACATCCGTGCCACCTTGCCAACCTGCCTGACACTAACGGAGACCCGATATGACTGCTTGCTGGATCAACTCGAGCCCAAGTCTCGCAGACAAAGCATCCGCCAAAGACAATCTAATTAGTTCACGCGAGACACGAACTAAGACCGCCTGAGTCGCTTGCCCAAATATACTGACTGTGTAAACAGGACAGGAAAGCAGCGATGTCTCAAATCAGCATGGCGCTAGCCAGACCACGGAAGCCTATTTAGGCTCGGACGAGTCGTGCCGAGAGGCTGAAGTCCTAGTAAGTAAACCCAAACGGAAGCTTGGGCCTCCTTCGGGTAGAAAGCTCTGACATAGTCCAACTGAGAAGCCAGTTAATGACACCCCTGACCTGTCTACTAGTCAAAGAACAGGTAAAGTACCTTGACTGCCAACAATTACAATATAACCCCCCCCCCCCTCCCCCGGTCTTTCTTCTGGTCCTGGTTCTAGCCTCCCCGAGCTCAGAGGGAGTCTCTTTTCTAACGCCAAAGATACTCTCAAGGACGAGCATGGGGAGTTCGGAGGCGTAGTTCGTCCCCCCCAGCCCCACCAGGCTACAGCACACCAAGCTTCACCCAACCCAAATAAAAAAACAAGAGCAAACATAACAATAGCATCCCTAAACATAAGAGGATGCTCATCCAACACCCTCGGGAATAACCAAGTCTCTAAATGGACAACAGTAAATCAAACAATGAGAGAAAATAAAATAGGAATACTATGTCTGCAGGAAACACACCTAACAGAAGAACATGAAAATCAAATAGAAAACCTATTTTCAAGACGACTACACGTACTTAACTCCAGCGACCCTGATAGACCCAGCACCTCAGCGGGAATTGCGTTCAGTATTAAACAAAGAACTTACAAACATAACTAATGCAAAAATGGACGTGCTAATCCCAGGGAGAGCCGCCGCACTAACCGTATACTGGCATAATGAGAAAACAATCACAATACTAAACATATACGCACCAAACAACCCAAGAGAACACTCCTACATTCTGGGAAACAGTAAGAACTAAATGGCAAGAAAAAAGACTCAACTCACCTGACTTCATGATCGGAGACTTCAACATCACTGAAGACCCATTAGACTGCGCCCCAGCAAGAACAGACAACGAAAATGCAATTGAAGCCCTGAGAGATATCAGATCGACACTAAACCTACAAGATACATGGAGGATAACATTCCCAACGAAGAGACAATTCACCTTCAGCAGCAGCAACAACACACTATCCCGACTAGACAGAATATACTCATCAATCGTCCATAATAAAAGCCTGCTAGAATGGAAAACATACGTCAGCCCAATACCCACAGACCACCAAATGATATCAGTACACTTCGCACCACCGGGACTCCTGCACATTGGAAAAGGAAGATGGACATGGCCGCTAGGCATCCTCTCAGACGCAACCCTAATCAACAAAGTTATAAGCCTCGGTATAGAAACCCAAAAAAAAATGGAACAGACGCCCCACCGCGACGAAAGCACAAACCCCCAATCGATCTGGGAAATGTTCAAAACCAAAATGAACTCCATGGCGAAAGACACGGCGAAATCCCACCTCGCCAAAATAGACCAACAAATAAAACAACTAACAAAAGACCTCAACAGCACAGAAAATATGTCAGAAATCGACACATCTGAAAGTACAAGACACCATAAAGTAATCCTAGAAAAAGAAATAGACCACCTACAAAAGAAACGAAATAAAAACAATAACCTGAGAGCGCAAGCGCAATGGTCGCTGAAAGGCGAAACAATCTGCAAATACTGGTCAAAAATAAACAGCGCAAAAAGACCGAGAGATATAATCCACCGACTACAAATACCTAACACGAACAGATTCACGACGAAATCAGAGGAAATGGCTGAAATCGCAAGAAACTACCATGAAAACACCCAAACAGCAGGACCCACACCTGGAAGCCGAAACACACCAGAAGAACAACACAGGAATCACTAAACAACATCCCCGACCAGCAGAAACTAGACGCACCAAATAGCCCACTCCATACCCCCCTACTAGAAGAGCACATCCTTGCCGCTCTAAAATCATCGAAAGCCGGTAGCTGCCGCTGGAATAGACGGGATCCCATACGAGACCTGGAAAACTCTAAATGAAAAACACATCGAAGCAAAAGAAAACGAGAAACCCAGCTTCGACGTAATCAAAACAATTACCCACATAATCAACGACATCCAAATACACGGCATCACCCAGGAATCAGAATTCACACTAGGATGGATGTGCCCGCTATACAAAAAGAAAGAACGCACCTTAATCGAAAACTACCGACCAATCACCCTCCTGAACACAGACTATAAGATTCTAACCAAGGCACTGGCCATGCAGTTAGCAAAAGAAATACATACCTTGATACACCCGAACCAAAGCGGCTTCATACCCAATAGATCCATATTTGACCCAATCCGTCTAGCACAAACCATGGCAACCTACGCAGATGTAATGGAAGAAGATGGCGCCATCATCACACTGGACCAAGAAAAAGCATACGATAGAATCAAACATGAATACCTCTTCAAAACATTAAAAGAATTTAACATACCTCCCATGTTCATCAACACCGTCAAAACCTTATACTCCTCCGCCTACACAAAAGTCACTATAAACAGATTCTTAAGCACCCCATTCCAAGTCACAAGAGGCGTAAGACAAGGTGACCCACTATCATGTCTCCTTTTCGACATCGCAATCGAACCCCTAGCCTACTCGCTAAGAAACTCAATAAACCTACAAGGATACAATGTCCCTGGACTCACTGACAAAATAATAGTAAACTTATACGCAGACGACACAACAATATACCTGTCCAAACACAACCAATACACCAACCTTGAATACATATTAAAAAACTGGTGTGCTGCATCAGGCGCAAAGTTCAACCTAGAGAAAACAGAAATCCTACCTATAGGGTCCAAGGAACACCGAGCATCTGTAGTAATAAACAGAAAGTTAAATGACACAGACACCCCATGGTGCGATAACATAAGAATCACAAGTGACGGGAACCCAATACGAACACTCGGCGCCTGGATAGGAAACGAAATCGACAATGCAACCACGTGGGAACCAATAATAACAAAAATCGAAAACACCCTCACCAGATGGAACCTCAGCCACCCCTCCCTCAACGGGAAAAGACTAATCATCCAAATGATAGTAGGGGGCATGACCCAATTTCTCACCAAAGCACAAGGTATGCCGAAACCAATAGAAAAAGCCCTGACAAAAACGATCAGCAAATTCATATGGGAGAACCGCAAAACCCCACCCATGAGCCTAGAAAGCCTACAAAAACCAAAGGACAAAGGAGGAATAAATCTACTAAACATCAAAACCAGAAACCAAGCAATCGACATAATATGGCTGAAAGCATACATGGACCTATCAAAATCACGCCTTTCATGGGCATTCGCAACGGACATCATTATAAACACACTAAAACCAGAAGGAATAAGACACCAAACCGACCTTAAAAACTTCCTCATCGCATGGGACCCCCCGACACAAGGCCAAAGAGCGAGTAAGTTATCCAACCGCATCCTAAACATGCTAAAAGCTGCCAAAAAACACAATGTAAGCTTCGCACCCCTGAAAATGGCAACTCACCTAAAAGAACAACTACCGGCATGGGCACACATAGGTGCACCACCAAAGACCTATAACAAAAAGAAAGACAAGTGCCTATACAACACACACGGAATTAAATCAATAAAAGATATGAAGGCGCTAGCCGCCCAAATACACAACAACAACGCACACTCAGCAAGAAGCAACTGTGCATGCGAAAGCTGTAAACAAGACAGACAAACCGGTTGTGTAAACCCACACAAATGCGCGATAAATGCAAAAAACATCCTAACCAAACTCCCCAGAAATACAGGAACAACGCATCCCCACAAAAAGATGATTTAACGCTAACACACAGACAAAAAGAAAAAAACTCACAAACGATCAGAACAAAGAAAGGAGATATAATCTTTGACCCCTCCCTAACGGAAAAAAATTCATTAGCAGAATGCTTTAGAATCTTCGTCGATAAAGATAAACTCACGCAAAACCCAGCACACAGACTCCAACGACCGACAGCAAGGAGACTAACAACCGACAACACCATCACAATCTACACAGATGGCTCATGCACTGAGAATGGCCGAGAAAACGCGAAATGAGGCGGGGGAATATGGATAGCACACAACCACCCACTCAACCGAGCAATAAAAGTCCCAGGACACCTACAATCTAACCAAATAGGAGAAATAACAGCCATGTTAGTTGCCCTCCAACTAGCGGACCCACTAACAACTGTAAAAATAATCACTGACTCAAAATACGTGATCGACGGACTAACAACAAACCTGAATGCATGGGAAGACCAGGGCTGGATCGGAATCACCAACAGCGAATTCTTCAAAGCAACCACATACCATCTCAGAAAACGTGCGGCCCTGACACTTTTTGAATGGGTGAAAGGCCACAGCAACAACGAAGGAAACGAACATGCCGACAACCTAGCAAGCCTCAGTGCAAGAAAAACACGAGACGATGAGGTCGACCTCACGGTCCCAGATCACTTCAACCTACAAGGCGCAAAGATACAATCAATAACACAAGCCCTTGCATATCAAGGAATCAGCGCAAACAAACACACGGAATACAAAAGAAAAACCCTAGAACTTCTAGACATCTCCCGGCACGCGATAGAAAGAATAACCATGAAGCTAGAAACAGACGCGTCAATATGGCAAAGCTGCAGAAAAAACGACATATCTAAACAAATTCAAGCATTCATATACAAGACTCTCAACAACACATACCAAATAGGAACCTTCTGGCTGAACATCCCTACACTCGAACAACACGCAACATGCTCAACATGCAGAGAAGACACAGAAACCATGGAACACATCCTAACAGAATGCCCCGACCGAACCCTACACATAATATGGGAACTCGTCAAAAATGTATGGCCAACATAACAAACAGAGTGGCGACAACCTAACATTGGAACGATCCTCGGATGCGGGATGATTGAGATCCCCCACACCAACGTTGAAAACGACCCGAAAGACAAAGAGAAAGCGGCTATAAAACGAGGAGCATCCAGACTTATTAAGATTCTGTTATCAGAGTCCGCCTACCTAATATGGGTACTACGCTGCGAAAGAACGATAAGAGAGATAACCCACTCAAAAGATCACATAACTAAGAGATGGACGCACGTCATAGATAAAAGAATACAGATAGACAGAGTGATGGCATACAAAAACAGATGAAAACAGAAAACAACACTACAAGTTCAATGCACGTGGTGTAACAGCATAACCACAATCCCCCACCTCACCCTGGGGGAATAATGCATTACCATTGTAATTACAAGATAAGGTATTGCATTAACAATTGTAATGGCTAATGAATTAATTTTTAATCTTAGTAAGAGGGGGTTAGAGGGGGTTAGAGGTTAGATTTTAGATGTTAGAGGTTTGTTAGAGGTTAGATGCTAGATGCTAGATGTTAGAGGGTTAGTGGTTAGTGGTTAGTGGTCAGTGGTTAGGTGGTTAGTGGTTAGTTAGGGTTAGCTAGGATTATATTCTGCCTGGTGCCTCGGAGGTTAGATGTTATGTAATGTTATGTAAGAGGTTGCTGATAGTTACAATGGTTAATGCAATACATTTGTCTTGTAACTATCATGCATTTAATGCATTATAACTACAGGATAGCCTCAATCCCCCCCGATAGAACGGATTGGGTAGACAACCCTGAGGTTTTAGTGGGTATAAGACTACACAGGCCCTTGCAGACCGAGGAAACCAGGTAGTAAACGGAGTCCCACACTATCCTACAGCATGTAGGATGTGCGTAAGAGAGAGAGAGAAATTCTATATTTATATACCGCAACAAACAAAGTGAGCTGTTAAGACGCGGTGCCCTGTTAGGGCTGTGCTGGGGAGTGTTGTAACAGGGTGAGGGATGTAGGTATAGTACGAATAGCCAAGCGGTCCGCGTTTGATGAGTTTTGGTGTGCGTGTGGGCTCGTTTGGTGTCCAGGCTTAGGATGTGCGTAAGAGCATTTTCCCTCGGACGATATTCAGGTATCGCTATAAGCGTTTATGTAAGGCTAGACTGCGTCAGTTGTTGCATAATAAACCCGCTTTTCCAAAAAAAAAAAAAAGAAAAGAACATGAAGCCCAAAGTCGAATTCCTGTCTCTTGCTGAACTTCTGAAGAACTCAAGTCTTACATTCTCAGCCTCCTTCCTTGGCGAGATATTACTCGTTGCACATCGGTGAGCCACCAATTTTCCAACTATCGATGTCGATTGTACCTACCAGCAGTGGAATATGAACTGTTATACTGACAACTCTTGCAGGTGTGCAACGCTCTTCACCAGACATATGTGTCATCCTTGGAGCTTCAGTACATCGTAGAACTTGGTGACCAGCAACTGCTCCATGTCCCTGTCGCGAAACCCCGCAACCACATTTCTACTTCCGAGCGTCTACAGCTTCTGAGGGACAGCTCACGCATGGTTCAAGTTGGACCTCCACTTTTTCCAAACAGTCTCTGTACCAGAACGATTTGATGAAGTACAAATGAACGTCGCTGATGGGCATCTCTATCTGGACCGAAGACGGAGACTACGACGGAGACTGGGGCCACTGCCACTTAGCCAAGATCTTTCCAATATTGCCAAGGCTCTCACAGCAAACAACCGATCGTCACTGGTCTACAGGATCCCTGTGTTCAGTTCCGGAGTCCGAGTACTGTTACTGATTTTTATCCAGCCGTTGCTCCAAAGAATGAACCGGATTGAAGTCATCGAGATGTAGAGCGGCTAGTCTTAACAAGTTGAAGAATGTCGACCTCTACTGATCGTGGTGCAGGCGGAATGAGCACGGTAATACTGTGCATATTCCTACAACATTTGTACAACCCCACTAGCTATTCAAATTTATGGATCGCAGCTATATGGAATACTTCTCCTCTCTCGTGTCTATGGTGTACTCTGTTCTGGAATCGCACGCGGGTGTCGTCGTCACATCTTACCGTCTTCTCAGGATGTTGCTTTTGGTCGTGGAGAGTGCTCAGTGAACAACTCGACCACCTCGCCAACCGCGAGCTCGTTTAATGGATCAAGCCACCACAGCTTCTGCTAACCGGCAACGTCTCGTTTAATTGGCTCTCATTACTAACGGTCAAAGAACATTCCAGCTCCGTGGAATTGATTTTGCTATGGCTTTAGTAAACCCAGCATTATGGTATCAGTTCTAAACCATAGCATGTATGAAGGGTATTACTGCCACTCCGAGTCATCCCCTTGAAAAAACACCCATATTAAGGAGTGTAGGTGGTGAACGTATGTTCGCTTTCACAAAAACATATCAGCCAAAAGGGATAACTAGATACAACAAGAAAAACTCACGTATAAGCAAATCCAACTTGTTGACTATCCGTGTCGAACACCTGCAAGTCAATCAGTACCTCGTACATAGCCACATGGCGATTCGACAACTCACAGCATAGTACTTCTCCATGAACTTCTGCCCGATGATAAAGTCTAGCCCCTCGCCGCTGTTAGTCCCCAAGTACGAGACAATGCCGTACTGCTTGTTTGCCGACAAGCCCCATGCGGTGTTCTGGTCCATCGGGATGAGTTGCGCTGCAGCGTCCAAACTGAAGACGGTGCCGCCGACCGTAAAGTTCAATGGTTGGATCTTCGAGACGGAGCTTTCAGGAATGGTCATGAGGCCGGTGGTCTGGTCGAGCTTGGCACCAGGGATGGCGCGCATATAGGACTCGAAGAAGTTGTCAGCGAGGAGAACCACTATAAATGTGTCAGAAAGTGAGCATGTTAATAGGCAAATCAAGTCCTACGGGTGGTGCCAGTATCAACGATTCCGGCGGTTGAAGTTGGGATAACAGTCGTCTTGTCGTTGGCGGCACCATACGTTGCATCGGTGACGTTGATACCCCAGTAGTAACCGGCAGGGTAAGTTGCAGTGACTGGCGTGTAAGTAATTTCGCCGGTGTACTGAACAAAATTCAGTACGAAAGTTGGGGACATACTTCTGAGGCTTACCAAAGACGAATCGATGCCACCATAAGTGAGGGCACCATCTGCGCGCAAATCAGATCACATTCGACCATCTCACAAAGCGTCTCTTACTAGTGTCGTTGTAACTCGTTGCGGGTGCGAAAGAGACGCCCAATATTTCCTGTGTGATCAAACCCTGCGAGAGAGCATTGTTCATAACGGTGGGGATTAGCTCGTTGGTGCTGGGCGAGAGTGTGCCCTCAGTCAGAATGACGGGGCCCACACCGACGATCCCATCGACGCCCTCAAAGTCGGCATAGGAAAGAGCATCACCGATGGACTGATTCGTGATGACAAAACCTGGAGCAAGTGTCACCTGGTCGAGATCTGCCGGTTGAATTTTAACAATGTTATCATTTTTAAGCGGCCAAAAGACCTACACTCCAAGCCGGAAAAGTAACCCGAGCCGTAAGTGACGTTGACGTCTTCACCAGTGAAGATACTGGTTGAAGTCTGGACATACGTTGTTCCAGTTCTTCAAAATAAAATGAGATGCAGTCTGAGGGAATAACCAATCGGGTCCTACCCAACAAAAGTATTGGAGCTACCAGTGTCGACGACCAAGTTGTAGTACGTCGGAGGACTACCAACGCCCACACTGGTAGTGTACTGGACATATGCAAGATTAGACGCAGGGACCGTCGTAGGACCGCCAGAAGCAAAGCTCTTTAGGAATGCAGCACGGGAACGATCAGCATCAGGCAGTCCCGCGAGAGAAGAGCTGGAAGGCGCAAGTTTCGTCAGGGGCATACTAAAGAAGCTTGAAGCCGATACAGAGGCCACGGTAGCGAGGAGAACTGCGCAAAGAAGGGCGGAGAACGACTGCATGTTGAGCAGACGAGCAGGGACCTGGTGCTAATTCATCATGAATGACCCAATGAGATTTATATGGGCGGGGACGGAGGTTGAGGCAGCCGATAACCACCCAGTACTAACAGCACCTGCCTGAAGGAACGCATGGAAGTAGAAAGCTGCCATGCGTGTCGATTTAAATAAACTGGAAGACATACATAGAACCAATAATAACATGGGACATTTTCCATAATTTTCCGGGTCGGCGCTGAAACGCTAGCATTTGAACAGGGCCAAATGCGAGCAAGCGTGCTATCAGAGACTCGTGAGCATTGCGAGGTTGCTCACCTCTAGAGTCAAGCCTGTGATATTCCCACCGATCCAAAGTAAGTACATTCGTATCTTGAGCAAGAAATGGGAGCCATATGTATTATGTTCCACTCATATGGCTCGAAGTTCGTAGCGTGTGCATAAGAATAGACAGAGACCAATTAGGACCTACCTGAGCCACGGAGAGAAGGTGTCAGATATATGTATCTCGCGACCGAGCCGTCCTAGGCCTAGACATTTTTGGGTTGCTGTCCTCCCGTGCAGCTGGTGAAGCTTAAGAGTCAAGACTACAACCCTGACTGTCACTGGGCGGTCATTAGCCGGCGCCCGATGGAGAGAGAGAGAAATTCTATATTTATATACCGCAACAAACAAAGTGAGCTGTTAAGACGCGGTGCCCTGTTAGGGCTGTGCTGGGGAGTGTTGTAACAGGGTGAGGGATGTAGGTATAGTACGAATAGCCAAGCGGTCCGCGTTTGATGAGTTTTGGTGTGCGTGTGGGCTCGTTTGGTGTCCAGGCTTAGTATAATATGATACACTTTCTCTCCTTCCTCCTCCTTCTGATCTCTCCTCGTCTCCTCCTTCCCTCGTCACTTCCTTCTTTGCCCTTACTCAGGCTTCTGTCCCTCTCCTTTCTTCCCAGTCTCCTTCTCGTTCCAGTGCGACCTTCTTGAATGCGCTGGATTCTTGAATAAACTTCGCTAGTGCCTTTATGCCCTTCTCCGTACCCAAAATTTCGTTGAGTATGATGTTGTGTGATACCTCACGCAGATGGATGCGTTTGTCGCGCAAATAGTGGGCAGTCACGTATGATATGTTCTCGTGTTTGACGTGGTTCTCCACATGGGCAGAGGGTGGGTTCGGTTGGAACGAATGCAGCGTAGTATTCTCCCATGAATCCGTGTCCTGTGCGGCATTGTATAAGACGGCCGTATACTTCTCGAGGAGTGTGAGTGAAATGTTGGC